AGAGGCTAAATTTTTCTCCTAATATCTTTATCGCCTGTTTGACAATAAAATATGCATGTTATGAAAATAAAACAGTAGTATTTTTTTAAATCATTCAAAAGTCATAAATACGTGTTGCAAAGACCACCAGAAAGTTTTCCTTTTTAAAAGACAGATGGATGATTTATGTAGTCGCCACCCTCTGGGTTTTTCAGCTCTAAGTGAACTTAGTTCTTGACCTCCAGATGATGACGGAGGTAAATTAGCCCATCAGTCATCAGCTAGCGCCTGGTTATTATAACGTTTATACCATTTGTCTGCCAACACTATCTCTCAGCTACTGGGCTGCGTCTGTACTGCTGAAGGGTGTTGCTATGGAAGCATGCGGCGGCAGCTCTTTGAAGTGACGTGTCTGTACCGGGGAAACAGAATTCCTTCTGTGTTGCACGGCCGAGGAATGAAGAGGTTTGGCTCCGGTTGTTCTCAGTGTGTGCATGTGTGTATATCCTGTCGTTTCTCTTTTCTCCCTCACCATCGTACCTTTTTTACTTTCATGCTTGGATAGGTACTTATTTTTTTTTCTTTTTTTTTTTTTTTCCATGCCAACATTCCCGAACCTTCCTCATCCCTGTAGAGTTCTTAGTGCAGTTTTGGTCTCGCCCCACTTCTCTATTTTGGAAGATAAATCTGATCAAAATAAGAACCATAGATGGAGAAAAGATTCAAACATTACTAAAAATAAGCTATGAGTGCCCGTTCAGGGCTTAATCTGAAGAGGGGATTTTGGGATCAGTGATTGCAGAATCTATGAATGTTCTTGACATAATAACAAAGTTATGAAAAATATACCCTTTAAGCTCATAATGACACTTGCTATTTAATAATTGTTGGGAAGCAGCTGCACAACCCACTATCTAAACAAACTATCTTTGGCGATAATGTCCGCCATGTTGGCCTGGTGACAAGTAACCTAGCATAACCAGTTTGAACACAAGATAGCATTTTAGCTTTATGTCAAGTTTTCTCCTTATAAAGTCAGAACAATGTCCATAACAAATAATTACTGTCTAAAGTTTTAACAGCTCCACACTATTTGTTATATACGTCCCAACTGGCTACTTAGATATTGATCCTATTTATAGTGTGTGCTAATCAACAAGCTAGAAGCACACTAAATAATATGGGAAAAACAGTCCTTTTTGCATCTTAAGGTAAACACTTGTTACAAATTGTTTTCATTTGTATTGCTTAACCAGCCGCCTTTCTTTATATACTGATTTTTGCTACTTTATGCTGCGTTAGGTGGAAGTGTAGGTTCAATAAAACCCCCTCATTGCTCAGTAGCAACATTAGCTGAAATGCAAGCTTGTGGGAATACTAAACCTAAGATAAGTTTTTACTGCTTAAATGTGCTTCTCTTTTACTTAACTGCAGACCTTTTCTACAAAATCTTATGTTAGGGTGTTCAATATTCAGTGTCATATACGTCAAGGGTGGAGCAAACAAAATAAATGAAAGGCTTTGGAAATTAAAAGGCAAATTGCTGGTCTGCTCTGGTTCGGGTTGTGTACAATCCTGTATGTGAAACTCAGAGGTGTTTCTTACAAAACTGATTTAAAAAAGACAATGATCACGTTTTGTTTTTGGTTTTGATAATGCTATTGTTTGATATGACGAAAAGTTCTATATAAGTTCAATCATGCTAATGTTCTGTACAATTCTGAATCAAAGATACAGTTTTGTCATAAGTTTTGTATTATAACCTATGTGAATTAAAATAACAGCTGTAGTAAAGCAGAATGGAATTGTTTTAGTGTCAATCAACATTGTATAATTATCTGCTCTCCAGCTCGATTTCAGCTTTTCGCAAATAAAGACAAGACAAAGGGTGCTTTAAACGGCTCAAAGTGTTCCAGCTATGTGTCCCCTAATGCCACTTTATAGAGCGTATCATTTCCAAAGCATCTAATTAAAGGCCTCTCCCATTTTCCACACATCACACAAGCGCGGATGTGGATGAAAATGTCAGGATGCTTAGATTACAAACTGTTAACCTCAAGGGTTCACAGTTTAAGACTCCCAGTCAAACGTTAAAACTGGGGCTCAGCTGTTTATGGGTTATGCAAGAAAATTCTAATCAATTGTATTATCTTTTATTTTTGACAATAAAAATTGTGTTGTGAGATGGCGTCTTGGTTGGTGGGTCCGTCCACACTTCATAAAGTTTAAATGAACATTAAATTTGAACTCACCAATACCGCAAATTTTTATTTGACCAATACAGTTTTGTTTTTTATTTACTTTTATGTGTAACTAGTCAGTGTAAAGCCAAATGTATCAGTTTGGACATTATGCATTTATAGCTCCCTTTTTAACATTCCAATTCATGGATTGCGGCCACTTTGTAACCGCAGTGTTTCATACTGTTCATTCTCTGAAATATACGACTGTAAGATGTGGAAATTTGTTCTGTGGCCGAGGTGGAATGGGAGAATTAAAACGTGCAAAATGTCAGAGACGACCGCATTCATTTAGCGAGAAACATAAACATACAATAATTGGATCTTAGAAAAAAAAAGAAAAAAGAAGTCATTTTGAGATAAATTAATCTCTGGCATTGTTGTGTACATGACAAATATTTAAACTTCATGCATTCTCGCTGGTTTTTGTCCAACCTCTTCCCATCATTCCTCCCTCTCCCTAAGCTTCCCTGCCAAACCTCGCTTGCGTATTCCAACCCGCCAGCCCAGCGAACACGACAAACCACGGGAACAGCATTCCTGGAGGCTTGTCTGGGACGCGGCTGGGATAAATCAGGAGGAATAATGAGAACGGATCTCCATAGAGGGCAGGAGAGAAAAGAGAGGATGTGACTGACTGATGCTTAGTGAGATAAAACAGAGGCAGTGCACTCTGGGTATTTAATGGCATGCTGTTTAGAGGATCTACTTGCATAGTTTGGTTGTGTTAGTGCCAAGTTTGTGTCAGGCCAAGATCTACAAGATAAATAAGAAAGAAAAGGCATCATTGAAGAAAACCAGGGAAATTAATTATTGAAATCAAGTGAAGCAATCTCAGCACTTCAGCATTGTTCACCTAAACTGAAACGAGTCCGAAAACAGATGGAATTGTGAAGAAATTCAAGGCAAAAATCTGAACTGATATTCTGTGGAGAAGAATATAACATTCACCGGATGCTTGAGCTAGTAGCCAGTGAGACGAAGTGGATTTCTGCCAAATTAAAACAACTTCCAGTCCAAAACTCTCACAATTCTCGCAAACACCAGAAAAATAATTTTATGGTTTATGGTAATTTTTTGTTCACTTCGTATCAAAACGTTCCATCTTTCTCAAATTCTTACACAAGTATCACCAGTTTCTCTATGCTGATGTTGTTCCAAAGTAATCGACTGCAGGTAAATTAGACTGCTGATAATCTCTTCACAGATCACCTTTGCAAAAAAATCTGAATTATTGCTTTAAAGTGTGTACTCCAGAGTGATCTTTGAGAATCAACGACATGGAGTTAAAGTTATAATTAGACAGAAATTTCTTTGTTGCCTAAAAGTTAGGGATGGATGATATATTGGCTCTATCAGATACTGAAATCAGTCCCATTTTTTTCATATGGGTCCCTAATAAAAATCCAACACATTACTTTTATTTGAGTCAATTCGATTTAATAAAATAAAAGTTTAAATTATTTTTTTTTTATCCAAAATTTTCACACAAAGATATGTCTTTTTGTTCTGTTGGAATTATTTTCTTGTCCATTGTCTGTCGTCTGATGATTACCCATGCTAACGTCACAAACAGCCTTTGCTCGGTTTCTGAGGTATTTCGCAGATTCTTCTCCTCGAATGCTTTGCATACACAGTTTTTGTTCCTATAATGATATTTCGGTGTAAGGGTGGCTTCAGGAAGAGGAGAAAAAAATAATTTTACACTTTTTTAAAATTCTCTCATTCAGTCCCAATGGAAAAAAAAACAAAAAAAAAACACTCAGCTACGCTCGTTGCCTCGTCTGATTGGCTCCCTCCTTTCTCTGTCCGTCATGCCTCTGCTGCTTTCGTTTTGTTTGTTCTCGTCATGCATTCCCTGTTTGTGGTACAGTTGATTGTTGGGACGTAGAAATGGGAGAAGTAGAAACTTTTCCCAACATGGGTTTATTTCTCCTCTTGTATGATGAACATTCCACATTACTCTGTTTTTAGTCCTTACAGCACTGATGATGCCAGCGTACTTCAGAAAGAATAAATGTTGGAATATTTGCAGCGTAGCTCTTGTTAGAAAGTACTCTATGGCTGATTAGGGAGTTCAAGGCTTTGTTGATCGCAACAGATTGCAACGCTTCAAAGCCTGAGCTTGGTATAACTGCTCATTTTGGTGGAGTTTAGTGAGAGATTGGCAGGAATGAAAGTCGCCCACAGGTTGGCCTGATGCAGGCCGTGGAGGATCCGGTGGCCGCACACAGGACGCACATTTCAGATAGAGAAACATGCGCCCAAAAATGGCAGTACGAAAAAAAAATAGGTCCAATAAATAAATTGACTCCTATAAAGAGATCAATAAATACATGTAAATAAAATACTAAAATAACTTAAACAAATAAGACAAAAGATAAATTAATGTATATAACACAAAATAAAAACATAAATAAGTACATAAAAATTACAGAAAACAAATAAATAATATTGACTAATCCAAATTGCATATAAAAAAAATCAGGGGAATTAATTAAAAATAAATATAGAACATTTAATTGAAATAATTTTAGAAAATTTTAGATTTTTATAAACAAAAATAATAGAGACTTTTGGTTTTTTCATCAACTTTTCAATTTAACATCAAACTTAATAATCTTTAAAAAAAATTTACTTGCAGTTCCTTATTTACTCGCAAAAGTTTGAACAAAAAAAAAACTTAGACATTAAATATGACTACAGAAAGAATTAGCTATAATGTTTCTTCATAATGTGAAGAGGTCAGGTTGGAAGAGTGCAGCAGGCTCAGGGTCTTACCTTCACTTCACATTTCTTATGGCAGGACAGGCGGCATGCTGAAACAACAGAGGCAGGTTATTAATTGATTATTGAGTTGCTTAAAATCAAAAAACAACAAAAACACAGACATATGCATGGTGTAATAGCATAATCATTTTTAATGCTGAATAACTTCTGGCTCCAGTTTTGAGAGTAGAATGCTACAGTGCTGCCCTCAAGTGGTCAAAAAAGCAATCAACCACCTTCTTTGTCTTTAAATTAGTTTTTCTATATATATATATATTTAGAGATTTTATAGTGATTTTTTTCAAATTTCATGTGATGTAAACATCATTTGATGGAGGCCAGGAGCCCTGTCCCTGTTCTGGTGGTCTTTATGAGCAGGAAGACTCTCCACATGGCTGAGGGAGGTTTCTGGTTGCCTGCGTAGTAGGAAAACACTCGCAGGTTAAATTAGGTAAACGTGTGTCATGATGATGAATGAATTACTTAGTAGCGGTGCTGGTGAAGCGCTGCCTGCTAATTATTTCAATCAGAAAGGCAAAGCAGAGAGGAAACATTTAGCTCGGCTCTGTTGAAGTTCTGATGTAACTTCACGTTTCTTTTACATCCTCTTGGATCTAGAAAATTGTTTCACGCTGCAAAAGCACTGTTTGACTTCCCAACCAAGGAGGAATGCATGTGTGTATATCAAGTTGTTTTTGATATAGGCAATATGGCTCTCACCCCGGGTGCAACTGTTTCATGTGACACTAGCATTCAAAAGAGAAAAAGGTCATCAAAGTGGTTCCTAAGAGTGGAGATATGGGACTAGTTCCAGCATTTCCCTCCAAACTTTGCATGAATGGCACCTTGGGCATTCATGTGATGTTTGCATGAATGTTTCTTGCTACTAAATGTTGGAAGAAAAATTTCTAAGAGCAAAAATGACATACAAGTCTTTTTTTTTTTTTTTTTAATCTGGTATTTCCAGTAGGGGGCACACTTCCACTAATCCACTAATGTGCTAATAGTGTAGATACATTTTTGCTTAGTGTCTATGCTAGCTTTGAAAATGTTTATCTCACTTAGCTTCCCTAAAATAAATTCTAATGCGGTAATTTACTGTTATGTGAACTTTCAGCTGAATGAAGTTTGACAGCTGTGTTGACATCTGTTAAGAATCCTTCAAATGATTAGAGGTCTAAATTCATGCTCTTATTTTGAAGTGGATGAAAACTTAACCCAGCAGTTTCGTTTCCTCTCCTCTCATTTTCCATCCGTGATGCGGAACAGCAATAGACATTCATTCTGTACCCACAATGCATTGCTGTAGAATTACAGTAAACTATTGAAAATTAGCCTTTTTGACAAAAACATCATGGTCAAATAGGCAAAATTAGCAGCAGAGTTAGCAATGACATCAACATCTATAAAACTGATAGCATGAGTGAAAGGGCGATACATGATACATGTCTTAACACATGTTAGTGGCACGTTTTGTATCAACATGGCTGAAGTTTGCACACTAGCATTAACCAAACTAATCAATCAAGCAAATCAAATTTTATTTGTATAGTACACTTCAGCAGCAATGCATTTCAAAGTGCTTTACATTATAACAAACACAAAAACACAATTCAACAATCAAAACATTACATTAAGTCAAGTGCCATCATAAAATTCGTAATTGTTTATGTTTCAAATACAGCTCTAAACAGGTGGGGTTTTAATTGAGATTTAAAGGCACTCAGTGTTTCAGCTGTATTATAGTTTTCTGGAAGTTTGTTAAAAATCTGTGGTGCATAAAAGTTGAATGCTGCTTCTCCTCATTTGGTTCTGATTCTGGGGATGCAGAGCAGACCAGAACCAGAAGACCTGAGGGGTCTGGAAGGTTCATACAGCAGATCTGTAATTCATTGTGGTGCTAAACAGTTCAGTGATTTATAAACTATTTTAAAGTCTGTTCTTTGAGCTACAGGGAGCCAGTGTGGGGCCTTTAAAACTGGTGTTATATGCTCTAACTAATGGTTATGATCCGTGCTTTATGGCTAGCATAGCTAACTTTTCGGCTAGCTGTTTCTTAGCTCTGCTTTGCTCCTGCTGACCCTCAAACGACCTCACTGCATCCAGTCATCACAAGTCTCGCTTTTCCTGCCCATTCCATCACACTGCCTACACCAAAAGTTGTTTGGTTTCGAAGAACGAATTTTATTACCACAAGTTTAGCCAACAAAAGACCAAAATCAGTAAATTAACAATAAAATATCTGGACGTTGAATGTTACAACGTTTTTTTTGTTCTTTTTGTCATCTTGAATGGAAAAGCTATGCAAACAATATGTAGGAGGTAAAATCTCCAAGCTACCTGCTACTTTCTGGATGTAGTTTATGTTGGGTTTTAGCTTGTTTTTTCCTGTATTTTAGGGTGCATGAAGATTAAAAAAAGAAGATGAAAGAGAACATAATTCTCTTGTGCCCTCATTTTCTTTTGCTCTTCCAGGTCTAACTCCTTATTTCCTCTCTTCTCCCCATTTTCTAGCTCCTTTGCCTGCCTCTGCCCCACATCCCACCCCTCACCCCCTTTTTCCCTCTCTTTTGCCTCTTATCTAGGCTAATGCAGCAGCAGCCATGCTAATTTTAAACACCAAATCCTCTGCCAAAGCCCTTCACAAGCCCCATCCTCTTTCTCCTTTCTCTACACTCTTCATCTCAGCCTCAGTTAAAGCTGCTCTCTTTGTGACGCCTTTGGAAAGTGACAGAGAGATCGACTTAAGATGTGTGAAAGGCGATAAAGGGAGAAAATGAGGAAGGCAAATATTTCTCTTGGCGGGACAATGAAAAATTTGGGTTATCAAAGCATGATGGTAACACTTGCATGCAGGAGTTTAGTCATATTTCTGCTTGTTCAGAGAAGCAATATTAGCTAAAACTTTGTTTAAATTTGACACATACACTGGCTTTCAAACAGTCAATGTGTCTGATGTAAAGATTAGGCCAAATAGATCATCGGGGAACCTATTGATTCAGGTTAGTCAAGATCAGCTGTTCTAGCTGGATGTTTACTGCCATCATCAGGACAATCAGTCAGTCAGTCAGTCAGTCAGTCAGTCCTTCCAGGCTCAGACATCTTTCTGCTTGGTGTCTCTATCCAAGTATGTTAGGTGATTTTAAGGTGATCCCAGGACAGAAGGAACTTAATCAGATACCTGAACCATTTCGGCTGACTGCTTTTGATATTGACCCTTTGCAACTTAGTCATCTAATCACGTTGTAGTGGGGCATTTTCTCCATGCTTACTAATAATGAAACAAGTAACTTCTCCACAACTCAATATCTGATTGTATCTTACTAATCTCACTTACTTATGAAGTATATAAATGTTAATCATTGATTTTTTTGTGTAAGCAACTGCTAAACACTAAAACTCACCAAAAGCCTCCTTTATAATTCCTAATTCAAATCAATGTCACTAAGAGAACATGCAGTCCTCTGTGAAACATGGTGGTGGCAACTTTGTGATTTGAGGTTATTTTTCTTCAGATGGATGTGAGGTTTTTGTCAACATAGATGAAGGAATGAAATGTTTTGGCCCCAAACCTGTCTGGGAGTCCTAAATCAAACAACACAGGACTCTAAACAGTTTCAAGAGTTGTTGCCAAAAGATGACTTAGGTAAAATATTCACTTTTGGCAAAAAAAAAAAAAAAAAAAAGGCTGAAAACCAGACACTCACCTTTACAGATGAGACCCTCCTTGGTGATAGCCTGCTTGCAAATATCACAACTCTTTGCCTTCTTGAACGGCTTCAGCTTGAAGGTGTGTGTGTGGACGCCCTCCAGCTCGTCGGGCTGCAGGAAAACAACAAAAAGGAAAATATCAGAGTTCAGTCTACAGAACGGAACAAGATATGCACTGATAATTTCATGCATTTATTCACTGGACGGATTGGGCCTTTGACATCGCTGGATTCCAGTGAACCAGATCTCTACTGTCACTAATGTAGCGTTTGACAGAGAGGATTTACATGCACACATCCTCATTGATTTCAGGCTTTAATGATGCATTTACTCTGAAGTGACGCTACAGCAAACAACAACGATGATTTTTAGGATTTCCACATATACACCATGCTAATCTTTGGCTAACTGTCTCTTAGGAAGTGATAACTCACCTTAGAGTTATTCCAATGTCTACTTAAACACACTTGTTGTCATTGTCAACAAGTAAATTAGCACAATTTGAAAATAAAATAGATTCAGTCAGATTACTCTATATCTACTTGTTGACTGATAATCTACTGCTACTGATCAAATTTTATGACAATGACAAACACATTTGTGTAGAATTCTTTTTCATTAAAAATGATGATTTTTGTTGTTTTAAGTACAATTGAATCTAATAAATAATTTTTAAAAAGTGAACAGGGAGTCATTTGTTAACATACATTGGATTTTATTCATCGAATTGAATGACTGATTCAGGATGAGGACTTCAGAGGGAACTTTGTTGCAGGATTCATTGAAAAATACTCAAAAAAAAAAGATGGAAACACGCTTTGCATCTTTATATTTCCAATAAGTGCTTGGAGTGCAACCAGAGGACGCCAGCTTCAGAGAGAATCTGGCAAACAGAGACAATAACGCTGACACAAACGGAGGTGGTGACTGCAGCTGTGGTGTGTTTGGTGTTTTTCTTTTTATCCATCAGAGAGAATCCCCCTGAGCCACTAAACAAGTCCATTCCATGACTTATCTCATTCACTATCAAAGAACTGTTTTAAAGTGTAGTTTTTCCTGCCAAACAGCTGCATATTAATCTGCTCTGATTTGATTTGTTCAAAGTGTTTTGTTACTCAACAAAAAAATCAGAGCACATTCAACCCGTTTAGATCTCCTTCTCTCTTCTCTTGAGTCTGAGCAGCCTTCTCATGACTCATAGTAATGATGCCATTTCCTGTGTGTATTTGTGCAGCTGTGCCGCTCTGGGCTCTAGGAACCAGCATCTTGTTCCAGCTGTCACCTTGACAGGTTAAATGAAGGAAGGATTCCCTCCATGCCCGAGCCAAACTGATTCAGTGAGCCACCGCTGACGGGGAGAAAAGCTGGGATATGTAACATGTGGTCAGTCAGCAATGACTCCAGCTTCTCTTTCAGCAGATTCCATGATTTAAAGTTACCAAACAGCAGGAGTTAACAGCTGATCATATTTAGGGGGAGAAACCTCCAGAATTTAAGATAAATCTAAACCTCAAATAGACTCACGCCTTTTAGCGTTCATCCATCCATTTTCTGAACACCCTTGTCCCTCAGTGGGGTTGGGAGGGGTGCTGGTGCCTATCTCCAGCTAATGTTCCGGGTGAGAGGTGGGGTACACCCTGGACAGGTTGCCAGTCTGTTGCAGGGCAACACAGACACACAACCATGTGCACACACACACACACACACACCTAGGGGCAATTTAGACAGACCAATTAACCTAACAGTCATGTTTTTTGGACTGTAGGAGGAAACTGGAGTACCTGGAGAAAACCCATGCATGCACAGGGAGAACATGCAAACTCCATGCAGAAAGACTGGGGCTGGGAATCGAACCCAGAACCTTCTTGCTGCACGGCAACAGCTCTACCAACTGCGCCACTGTGCAGCCCCTTTTAGTGTTCAGCTGAGTGAAAAACTAATTACTGTTTCACTGAAACAAACTAATGCTAAAAATAAAGGACTAAAGCTACATATTATAATAAATACCGTAACCTTACAGGAAACACTGACAAGGGTTTTGGAAACATGAAGAAGCAATATTTGTACTTCCTCCAAGTGTTAAACGGCCTCAGACAACAACAAGCTAACCATTACAAGGTTCATTAAATATTAAAGCTGAATGGATACTGGAGGTCTATAAATATCACTTCTAGGATATCTGACCAACAATTGGTTTGTCTAAATGAGATTTTTAAAATTCTGACTTTAAACTCAAAATTCTGAGGTTGTCCATTTCATTTTAAATCAAGTTGATTTAAAACTTTCTATTGTTTATTTCTCTTTTTGCCGAAGTTATACACTCATACAGATGAAGGTAGAGTTTCAATCTTCAGTACTATTAGCACTTTGCCTTTGAAAACACTCACAATAAATATTCTGCTCCATTTCTAGCTTAAATTCACCCATTGCTACAGTATGCACCATTATTCTTCATCCACATCATCTTTACCGTTGAGAACGCACTTCTTTTATCAAGAAGTGCATACTTCTTGATAAAAGTTATTGCACCATCATATTTGAGCTCATTTTCCTTTTAGCCTTTCATGGTTGCCCCCCTCTATGTCCCACATCTAATTTGGCTCAGAGCTTTTTTTTTCTTCTTCTTCAAAAATCTGCTTCTCATCGTTTTACTTGCTTATCTGCCCACATCTTAATGGGTTTTGTCACAGTGTGACACTCTCACCAAAGCTCCGGAGAGCAATCCTGACTTTGGCTACACTGAGCTGGACAGAGCATGTTAAAGAAAATAGCACGCTAGAAGAAATGCATCTTTAATTATTGGTGATTTTTGAGCTGCTTTTGAACAATCAGAGCTGACTGATGTTTCTTGTGAAAACTGAAGGACTTAAACTGGCAAGTAAACAAAACGTGCAGGAAGAAAGGATAAGGTTAGGGTCTTTTTGACTAAAATTTTGATGAAAGTAAAGTTTTTCTTTCGTCTTTTCCTCAGGGAACCATTTATGGTCCTCTGTTATTCGTGCCATACATATTGTCCTGAGTCAATATCTCCCCCTGACCATTTTCATAGGGGTGACTAAACAAGGCCAGTAAAAACTTTAGGGATTGCAAAACTAATTAAAAAAATATATACAATTTTTTTGATTGATTTATGAAGATTACTCCATGACTAGAAAGCCTGGTTTGTTTGGGGAGGTGTGAATGTGTAATTGAACTGTAATGTGGACCAAAAATATGAACTCTGGTTCCCTCTAAGAAAACTCAGTGTCAGTTCAGTTGAAGTGAACTGAATGCATGTGGATGCTGCTACAAAAGCAGGAACCAGATACAACGCAGGGCATTCTGGGAAAACACAAGCAAAATAAATGCACAAGTTCAGTACTTTTACCAGAGATAAAAGAGAAATCCTCCAAAATCCTCTAAAATCTGACACTACTTCTTTTTTGTTTTTAGTTTTTAATGGCAGCTTGCACCCATCAATGTTGCACTACTGCCATCTCTTGGATTTGACTACTCATCATTTTCTGGCCTCACATTCTCTTCATGAACCCAACATTTTTTCAAAACACAAAATATTTTTCCTTTCTCTTCATTTCTATTCATCTGAGCAACAACATTATCTGATGCCACTCCATTTTTGTTTACATTTTGTGAAAAAAGAAGTTCCACTGGTCTTTCTCAGAGGTTTTCGTGTCTTTCCCTTCAGTAGTTCTTGGTGTAGCGCCACCACAGGCATGGAGGTGAACAGGTTTTTCAATTAGTTTGGTTAGTTTGACACAGTGCAGTGTGAAAGTGAACCGCAGCAGCTAAAAATGGAACAAATGTTCAATCAAACTGAATCCGCCTACCAGATATGAAAACACCCTAAGTGGCTGAATTAAAAAAAAAAAAAATTTTAGTCAAGAAAAAGAACTTTGTTCATCAGTCCTGATACTGGGCTCTTACAAACGAAGTATGGAGAAAATTTTTGGAGTTCCACTTTTAATAATCCTTCATTAGATTTGCTTTAAATCTCCACAATTGACACATAAACCAATAAAACAATCTCGCTTTAAACTATATAAATCTTTATCTAAATCTGAGAACTTCATTTAACATGACCGTGACATTGTAGAAATTCTAGATAACAATAATTCTGGGTGTCTCACACCATAAACTCCCTTTTTTGTCTTCTATTTTACAGAAATTTTAAAAGTTTTTTTTCTTCAGGCTTTATTGTTTATTCATATCCTTCAAATTAGTCGATATTGTTAAAAATGAATAATAAATATCCAAGTGCTTTTACCAACTCGTCCACACAGAGTGTTTTTACAGTGCAGGTCCGGTCTGAGTTTATAAATAGAACTCAAAGCACCTCGGTGCCACTCCACAGCCCCGTTGTTAAAGATGACCTGGCAGAAAGCCACCACAAAACTGAACCAATCACACGCAACCAGCTGTGTCACAGCCAGGTGCCATGGTTACCTGACTGCTGTGGCAACCGGGGTCAACGTGCCCTGTCGCACCAGAATGGATGAGGCGCGACGGGAAAAACGGGAGAACAAAAACATCCAGAAGTTTGCAGACACACACAGGCAAGGAAGTATCGAGAAAACCGGGGGACAAATAGAAGCTGTGTGTGGGCAAAGTCACATCTGGAATTTGCTGTCACTGTTTAAATAAGAGTTGATTAGATTTCAGTAAAAAAAAAAAAGAGCAAAACAATAGAAGTGAGTTGCGTTGGGGGAAGGGGTTAAACTTTTCTTTTGTCTGAAGATAAATATGCTATATAGCTGATTATCTTAAATTTAGCCACTAACAAAAGCAAACTACAACTCTTTTGCAAACTACAACTATTTTCCTGTAATTACCAGTAATAATCTTGCTGCAAAAGTCACTTCAAGTTTCCAAATTTAACTGGAAACCCATACTCTCCTCCCCTGCAGGCTGCAGGAGATTCCCAGGAGGAACAATGTACAGGAGAGTCATGCTGAGTGGCAAGGAAGCCGAGGCAGAAATGGATGTAGATGACGGAAAAAAAAGATGGTTTAAAGGAAAGGAAGGAGAGGAAGACGGAACAAGAAGAGAGTATGATTGTGTACGTGTGTGCACGTACAGAGGAGACCCAGTAAATCAAGGCTTGCTGCTCTTCT